TTCTGTTGACACGCTCTCAGGTGGAGGCTTTTATCATACACAAGCAAACAGTCCATTCACAGCAACTTGACTTCTGTACGAATAAATTGGTCCTTACTGTTAGGGCGGCCTAACGAACACCCTTAGCAAGCAGTAGCTTGCAAGTCATAGCCACAAACCAAGTAGGCTATCGATCGGCCTACACTGGCGAATGTACAAAAGCCGTCAACCGATCGATAATTGAGATTTTAAACCACTGTCATCTCCTGAGCCAAACAACCAATGGAACTGGCCACTATTTCAGAAGGAAATCTTATTGGCTCAATGGACATCGTTATACACGTTGGTTTCCCTAAATTTGTTGCACATCTAATACCCAAAGACTTCTGCCGTTAAATCCTTCTTGTCGTGTTCTCTCTTTGGGGGCTCACACAGGACGTCATTGGACGGCAATATCTCGGCCTGGGCATCCGTTATAACACTAAAATTTGACTGTCTTCCTCCATCAGACGAAATATTCTCACTGAAGTGGTTATAGTACATCGCACATCCTTGACTGCTACGATATCTATTAGCCGCCTCCTGCCCTTCCCAGGGTATGTCACTGGACAACCGTACTGTCCGTCGTCATTTTTGTTACCTGTAGAAGAAACGTAGTCACTTAGGAACCATGACTCTTTATGAGTAACCAAAAATAATATTATCATTTGCCGAATTAACTGGTTCGCGCTTACTTCCGTTGGCTTCTGTATGGCCTTCTTGTTCTGCATACCAGAGACATTCCACTTCTTCCCCTCCGTGGCATCCTTCCCGCCTGTCGTATTGGCCAGCAGCTTACGTATACCCACTTCGTGCAATACACTGACATGCGGATGTTCGTCGCTTACGCCTGTGGATTTGTTTTAGGTCCAGGTTTTTGTTAGACTGCCACATAGACGTTCTAAGATTACCACCTGAGCGTTAGTGAACATCAGTAAGCAAATTGTGTTTACCTCTCTCCGCATCCACATGATACAGCTCAACAATACGGCTGCAGAAAATGTCCTAGGCCGCCTGTATGGCAACGTGCCGGAGGTCATACAGCAGTCGGGAATGAACTTCCACTATGGTGTCCCGATCGCTTGCCCGGAAACTAGACCAGATTTTCTCAGTCCGTGCTCCAGATGTTTCCAATACATTTCTGTTATAGCCCAGTTTGTTCGGCGTCGCCAGTTGCTATAGCCCGGTATTTCGAACCCGACTGATAGGTAGAAGAAGGCAAGGGGCGGTCCTGATACGCAATAGCTTTATTCAACCGCACATAAAGACTGGGGGGCTTGAGTGACTGTCCGATCC